GTTTTTCTTCCAGGTCCCTGTCTTTCTATAACAGTTTAGAAAACTTTGATAAAAATAGTTCAGTTTGTGTCCAGGTAGTCCTCACTTAACAACCGTTTGTTTAGAAAGCATTCGAAGTTACCATGACGCTAAAAGTCCTTGCACTTATGACCATCACACCACCCCACCCCCCACGGTTACGTGATTGCAATCCAGGCACTTGGCAGTCAGGTCACACTTACAAGAGTTGCAGCATCCCAGGCTCACGTGATCGCCATTTGCGGCCTTCCCTGCCAGCTTCCAACAAGCAAAATCAATGGAGAACCACGTGATTTGCTTAACGACCACCACAAAAAATATTGTAAAATTGGGTGCAGTCACATGATGCCTTGCTTAATGACCACCCCGCTTAATGAAAAATTTTCTGTGGTCACTAAACAAGGACTACCTGTATGCTACAAGGCAATGAAAGACTGGTTTATTCAAACTCCTTATCATATGATAAATCATTGAATCCTTCTAGAAAATGTGTTAAATTTCTGCCCTCCATCTTCTTCTCTGCCCTTCATATGCACACCACCACAGTATTATCAAACTGCGACTCCAGCAGTGGCTGCCTGTCTCTCTCTCTTGTCTCACGTATCCACATGGCTCTTTCTCAGTCATGGTTTTCTTTGACTTTTCCACTACTGATGTTGCATTGTTTATGTTGAACTGTATCTTCTCCAAATACAACACCTGTACTACTCAGGAGGAAGTGACTAAATGCTTGTTGTGTTTCTATGGTTATCTTTACTTAGAGGTTCTGAAAGAGTTGTATCAAGCAATCTAGTGCCAGAGTAGAGAAAGAAAGGATTCCATATTGCACCTGTATTAATTTTATGCCTAACAATGGCCTCCAGCTATCAGGTTAAAGCAACAGCCCTCATCTAAGTAACTGAATTTGTCAAAATAAACTTTGCATCTGTCCCCATAACTTCCACATTTTATGTGGCATATTGGATAGTTAATGTGGCCAAATCCATATGGGTGAATTTAACTATCTGGAAAAAAGTCCTTTTGAATCCTTCCTTCATATATTGTTTTGGGTTATAAGCAAAAAGGCCCATATTTCATTGACCCTCTCAGCTGTTGCCAAAATAGGAAGAGAAAGAAAGCAAAGCATTGTTAATTGGCAGTTTAATATTGTATAATGTATTTGAGATACAAATATCTAAATTTGTTGTTAGCAATATTAAGATATATAGTAAAAATTGAAATATGAGCCTTAAAAACCCACCATCTGCTCTTTTCATGTGAAGTGTCATCTAAAGACAAAATAAATCAAAGAAAGTTAGACTCCAGAGCAGATGACTTTGTAGCTCTGAGCCAGCACTTCTGCTGTGATGGAATGACAATCCAAGAGAAATCCTAAAACTAATCACCTGGCATAATGGCTGGAAAACTATCTGGCTGGAAAGATGACGTTGCCAAACTAGGTCCTGGCTCCAATTTTTGTCATGGCTATCCTCTAGCTCAGTAAGCTTCTGAGGACAATGCTCTATACATTCTAAATTCAATCTGAGGCAGTATGTTTCTTTAATCAAACTGAAGTATAGATTTTCTTGGCTTGTAGAAGGACACAAGCAAAGGTTGTGCATTGCAGATCTATAATCACAGCAGCATCTAAATGAGGAAGAGCAGCAAATAGTTCCTATTAAGCAAGGCTCCGTTAAACTTCATGCCATATTTATTTTCAAGATTGGTACCCCTTCTTTTGATCATTTAGATTCAAAGGTTCTTGAGGCTGAATAATCCTTGTTTTATAGCATGATTTTTTTTCAGTTAACCACATCTTTAGTTAAAATAACTCTTACATGCTCTCTGGAGAACTTAAGGTGACTGCTAATATAAATTAAATTATATTTATATAATTTATAGATTTATATAAGTTAACATTAACAATTTAGAACATTCTTTATAATGTAACACTAAAAGAAGCAGGGAATAAAGAATATTGAATAAACTGCAATTAATTCAAACGCCAGAGATAGTTAAAAATTATATGTTAAGCTCTCACATCAACATGGAAGCTAGATGGCATGATAGGGCTATTGTTTCATTTAAAAACAAATAGAACCCTGAATTAGTAATAATGATGGGTGAAGATCTGGTGGGTAAAAAGTAGACATTCAGATTGTGAACGATTTGTGGCAAGAGTTTTGTTTTGTAATCCAAATGGGAACTTGACACTCTTAATGTTACGGTTGGCTTAAAAACAACAACACTTTGCTGATAATATAATCCAAAAATATAATCCAAAGTAGGCAGAAATAAACTAGTTCAGTCCTTCCTGATAGCTATATTCAACTATGATATTTTTACAGAAGCATCTACACAAGTTTGAATTTTTATCCCAAATGGAATTGACATGGTGAATTGACCCAGGATTTATTACTAATGCCAGCTCCTGAAAATACATCTATCTGGAATCTGTAAGAAAAGACAGCAGTGTTTCAAAGGTTCTTTAGATAGGGACTTGTGCTGGTTTTAATGGTTGATTTTAATCTTTTTCACATTTTAAAAATCACTAGTACAACTTAACATCTATAACATATTTTTTAGGATCACCTGTTGTTACCTGCCACCACACACAATAAGACCAGACGACCAAAGATGTCAATAGTGTTACCAGCAATAAACATCAGCGGTGAGTATGAAAGTTAACATATTGTCAAAGAAGCTGCTGTTTCATTAAGGTCAAATTGTATGAGTATTTCATGGACATTTTAAAATTACTGTAACAAGTTCAGACTCTTCAGATGAGCTGTGATTCAAATAACATGGCAATAATTTTTGAATTTTATTTATTTTGTTTATATACCACCAAAATCATATGACTCATGCCTGCTTACATTCATAAAAAGACATGAAAACAGAAACTGTTAAGAACAGTGCTTCTTCGGTACAACAGAAGTAAAAGTAAAGCATCAACAGCACCAACCTACCAATGGGCATTGTAAGTTTTCAAAGACTCTGCAGAATAGCTCCATTCTGGCAGCTTTCCAAAAAGAAATCAGGGTTTGTGGTAATCTGACCTCCAATGGGAGACTGCTATATAAAGTGGGGGCCATCACAGAAAAGCACCATTTTGAAGCTTCCATCATTCTCACCTCTCACAGATCAAATGTTCTCAGGCCCCAGCTGGACAAGTAAACTAGAAAGGTCAGTCCTTGGAGAAAGCAGTTTTATAAGAACCTAGGAGCCAAGACCTTTGTGGCCTTAAAGGTATAAACCTGCACTTTGAACTGTACACAGAAACCTATTGGAAGCGAGTGCATTGCCCACAGTATAGGCCATATGGCAATAGTGGCTTTTACCCACCACTGTGGGCAGCTGTATTTGGCAACAACTGCAGCTTCTGGGTAATCTTGAAAGATAGCCCCAGGTAGAACACATTGCAGTAATCTACTCTAGTCATGATGATTCCATGTGTTACTATTGTAGGACCTCCCACTTCAGATAGAGCCATCACTGTTGCACCAGCCAAAGCTAGGTGAAGTCTTCCTGGCCACAGCTTCCACCTACCCTCACAGCAGTAGCATGAGTCGATAAGGACACTCTAGTCATAGACCTTTCTGGGGGAGGCCATCCCATCTAGAGTGACATCTGGAGCAGCAAGATGGTCTGTGGACAAACTCAGCTCTATCCGATTTGGGTTCAACTGATTTGGGTTCAACTTTAGTTTCCACCTCCAGACCCTCAAAGCCACGACAAATATGGTTCAGCCCAAGGGTGACAATGAACAATCAACATATTGTTGCTGATATCCCAAACTGATTGATAACTTTTTCCAGTGGCCTTATATAAATGTTAAATACACAGAAGAGGATTTAGAACCCAAAAAAGGAGCCTCCTAGAGGCTGACTTCTCCTTCCCCACTTACATGAATTAGAATTGCCCACTTAGGAAAGAGCAGAGCCACTGCAAAACAGGGCTCTAATTCCCCACACTTGCAATGATCCAGAAGGATACCATGATTGATGGTATCATGAGCAACCAGAGGTCAGGGATAACCATGAGGAGTGCACCTCCACCATCCAGATCCAGAGCTTATCTACCAGAGTGACCAGTGCTGTTTTAAATCCCATACCCAGACCTGAAACCTGACTGAAAATGATCCAGATCATTCTTTGCTAAAGCACACCTCCTTCTCAGCAGTAGGTAGAGACTGGGCAATAGGTAGCCAATACAGGTGGATCCAGGGAAAGACTCTTCAAGAGTAGAAATCACTTTATGCATCTGTTTAAACCAAGAGTAAAATCTTTTTCTATTTATTTTATTTTATTTTTTTATTTTATTTATTGGATTTCTCTCCCACAATAGGGGGACTCTCCCCTACAATAGGGGACTCTGGGCGGGTTACAAAGACATTAAAACTATAAATATATAT